TGAAGCGACGCACCTGACTGACTTAGTATCTGACGCTTGACAGCCGCACTTCAACGGCCACCTGCCACTGCCACCTCCAGTTACAGAGACGGCTCCGACAAAGAGAGCAGTGGCGGTTGTCTGCCCCAGCAGAGGTGACGACACCCGAACTGGTAGAAGTGCAGAGGTAATGATACCTGACTTGACAGGAGCTTGGGAGTGAGTGCGCGAAGTGGTTATAAAAGGCCCTCTTCCCCCTAAGAATGGAGGTATGTGATAACTTTGCGCCATCTGGTTTTTTATCTTGCCTTTGAGAAAATACTAACTTGAGCTTCGAAGCACTCTCACCGGGTTCCTCCCCGGAGACTACTCGCTTTCTTCCCTGTTTCAGACACCTTTTGCTCTAGTCAGAGGCAAAATCGTTGACAGCTAGGACCGACCGGATTGTGCTCCATCAAATGGGACTGAAAATAAGAGAACAAAAGAGGGCTACGGTTCTTGTGGAAGGCTCAAACATGATTGGTTGGGTGAAGGATTTTGTCTTTGATGCAGCAACTAAAGGGAAACAAACAAAATGGAAAGAAAAGTCCTCAGAATCCGGTAGGAGGTATGCGATGGAGAACAAGGGGAATGCAAAGGGTGCATTCATATCTCTCATTGAATATTTTTCTCAAGGAAGGAAGCAGATGGTTTGCTTCCCTCAAGGGAAGAATGGCAAAGGATGGATAAAGATAGCTTGGATACTAACAAAATTCCTAAATAGAAGGGAATTGGAAAAAAAGAACTATTTGATGAAAGGGAACTAAGACCAGAAACTAGAAGATAGATCATGTATAAGGAAGAGGTACCAGAAAAGAAATTTTTAACCATGGCAAACAATAGGAGGGATTCTTCCTGGATAGCAGATGGAACAGCAGGAAAATGGGAAAGAACACTAGTGGTTGAAGCTGGAGGATTGGTGACAGATTGGTGGAAAGTTGCAAAACTACTGAAGCTCAAACTATAGCTAAGGAGCACCTTCGTCTTAACTCCGTTTGATTCTGCTAAGGCAGTATTGAACCCTCTCGAAAACCAGGTAAATGTTAGAGCATGTTGTATCCAAGATGTTCTAGGGACCTTTTCGGTCTATAAATGGTCTTTTTCTTCAAACTCGAAAGTGTTCTTAATGGAAGATAATGTTATTGTCCGAGTGGTTGGGCTGCCATTCCATCTCTGGAATCAAGAAACTGCAAACTCAATTGCTTTGCTGTGTGGAGCTCGCCTTGATGGTGTCTTTTGGGGAGATCTGCGAAGTGCAGCCATTGTACTGGGTGGAGTAAAACCAGAAGATATACCGAGGAAGGTGACTGTAATTGTGGATGAACTGTTCTTAATTGTTTGGTTAGTGTCCTCCATTGAAGCTAACCTTTGGAGGGAGGCAAGGCAGGAGGAAGACGAAAAGGTGGAGGAAATGGAGTTACGTGGTAGCTTGAAGTTGGTTGGAAAAAAGAGGCAAGGAAGTTTCACTGAAATGGAAACTCTACCTTTAGGCAGTGCAAAAGATTTGGGTCAGAAGACTATTAGGAGACGTGTGACACAAGGTAAAGGTTTGACAACCAATAGAACCTTTGCTCAGGTAGCTGCTTGTGGCACCAAACAAAATATTTTGAATGATTCAAATGAAGGAAGGGCAGAGGTATTGGTAGCCTCAGGAATATGCACGGGAGTCCAACCAGCAGGCCAATCTCTAAATTGTAATTTTGGGCCCAGTAGGCCCGAAAAGTTAAGTGGGCTATGCTTAAAAGACCCAAGAGTGAGGGGGGTGTGTGACAACTTAAAGGAGCACGTGACAGATAGTAAAATCCGTCTACCATCGTCTTCCTCAAGCTCTTTCTCTCGTTCAAACAGTTCAATGAAGGTCTCCAGCTCGTTACAGTGGAGATCCTTGAAGAAGATGCCGCATAAGGAACAGGATCGCCGTAACACCAGGAGTGTGAAGAGCAGTGAGGTTTTTGACTCTGTTTCGGAAAGATTGACAGACGATGAAGAACTTTCTGATTCCGGTTCAGATTTGGAAGAAATCATTAGCTTGGGAAGTATCGACCTCCAAAAGCCAAGAGATATATTGGAAGAGGGTAGCCTAAACACTGAACTGTTATTCCTAGAGGAGGAGACGGATTCACAAAATTCTGGTAATATCAAAACGCAAAGAAGGGTGAGCCTTAGCAGCGGAGAACAGATCTTTCCCAAACTGGGTATGCTATACAAAAGACAGGTCGAGTTGGGAACACTGAAAGAGGTAAGGCAGAGTGCACCCCGGCTAATAAACGAGTGCGTCCCACATGTGCAGCCCTGTCAGGACATCAGGCCAGAGAGACAGGATTCAAACTTGGTTCAAACTTGGAGCCTTACCTAAGGATTCACGCAGAGGGAAAGAGAAGTGAAGTTTCTATGACTGTAGAGGGTGAAGAAGTTTTGGTTGTACCTAGTCCGCTTCCACTACTGAGTCCGGAAAAGGGGAAAGGCCTAGTCATGACTCCAAGAATTGATACCCAACAGCCGGTCCACATGCAACAATCTATGCTAATTCCAGGTAAGCCTGTCCATTTGGTTTTAGATACCAACTTGGGTTCTCTGCCTGTAACAGATGTCCTGAAATCCCGACCAGACCAACCAACTGGTAGCAGGGAAGTGGCGAKTGATAATGATGGAGTCCGATTAGAGAAGGGAGTTGGGTTGTTAGAAAGGAAACAAGAGGAGTTAGAATGGATTTGGGAGCAGATTTGTGCCCTGCT